TACAGGTGAAAAACGAATAAAATACCTTCAGTGTTCATCAAGGGAACTCTGTGATGTTGACTTTTCCATTCCTGAAAAAAATGTATGAATGTAATGAATAAATGCAGATTCTATTTAATAGAAGATCTTACAAAGTTAGGAAATGTCTTTTTGTGTCAAAAATGCATTTTGAACCTAAAGCAAATGGTTCTCAATTATTCCAAATAACCATCATGAATTTAAAAAACATGCAATCTCCTAATCAATTTTCCATTACTTAAAATCTTTCATTATAAAGGTTTTAAAAGTGTACCTATTTTGGGTCACTCAAAAAAGAAGGGAAAAAAAGAGAAAAATATCAGGCTAATAAATAGCTACCTGCTATTTACAAAACAAGCCATCAGTGCATTTTTTTATTCTAAGGTTACACAGAAATAAGGTTTTATATGTGAGTGTTACTGCAGGATTTTCCAGGACATATCCTCATGGTATAAAATATATGGCACGTATAAAAGAGGCACTCTAAACTCTAGACCTAAACCCCTATTTTTATAGTGTTAAGAAGTTGAAAGATCTTCTAATTTATCCTTCATGTCTGTTAATTTCCAGCAGGTCTTTTCCTCTTATTTTTCGGCATCTCTCTTCTGTGTGCGGCCTCAATTATACTGGTATCAATCTGAACATATACCAAGGTCCTTGCTTCCTTACTGTGAGCTCAGTAACTTTATTTTAGTAAAGTTTTTTTTTTTTTAATATGTGAATGGAAGATAGCACAAGCATCAGAGAGTACACATCTTCTAGCTTTTTGGTGGTTCCTCTTTAATTTCTCTCTTCCCCACCTCTACAGAGAAACCTGAAGAACCATATTCTTAGGAAACATGGTTCTTCCCATACATAGGCACCTCCAAGTCTCGGTTTTATTCTGTAAGCCAACTTGTCAGAGAATCTTTTTCTGAATTAATACTCATGTTAATTTTGGTGAATGCAGGTTTGTTTGGTTTTTTTTTTCATCTCAACATATATCATTGGTATAACTCAACAGAAGGCTATCTCTGTGGAGTCAGCCTATCTTAACCCTTTTACACACTATAAGTCACTAGGTGCCAGACGGCATGGTTCAAACAGGAGAATGACCCTTTCCTCTTCATATGAAAATCTTGGCCCTTCTTGCTTAGCCCATGCCTTGCTTTGCACATTTGGATTCCCTGTTATGCTACCTTCCTAATATGCACTAGTGATTACAGATCTCATCATTTAAATTTATAATTCAACATAAACTTGCTATAAATTTGTGTTTGAGTTATCTTGTTTCAAATATATAACAATATAAAAATTTGATGCTTCATTGAAATAGGAGTTTATAAATTGATCTAGATGTTCAACAGGATTGGACAAAAATGCCCTTAGATTACAGGGAAATGAACTCTAACCAATGTAGCCTAGCTAAGAAATCTGCTATGAAATCTCAGAAAATAGTAGAAGATGATATTGTCAAACTATAGGGATGCAATATGCCAACAACAACTTGCAGGAAAATTGTATATCACAATAGAAATGGGTTAATGATGCAGCAATTATTGCCAAGAAAATAAATTTGAAGTGCTTGGTGACTAGGAAATTCAATTCAAAGTTTCAGATTAAAAAGTAAATAGTAAAGAGCAATGTGAAAATGCTAACGAGAAGAAGTGTATCAGGGAGAAACTTAGCATGTCTGACTCCATATTGCTTCTGTTTATTTTGCTGCTGTGACCTATAGCTTAGAAACTTCTGCTTAGCCCTGCACATAGGCATGTTACAGTTAAGATTTGTAAAAATTGATTTTTACCCCAAATCTACCTCTCCAAGGAGATAAGGAAATACATATAGAACTGACTACGCTATGTTTAAGAAATGGCATGACCAGATTTCTGTATGTAAAGATCAACTGACCAAGGACAAAGAAGTTATACAAGCCTCCTGGGATGTCTACAGAGGTCAGTCACCTTTTGACTCCAACCTCCCCTTCTACTTCCCCCTTTTGCTAACATAAAAGAAGCCTGAATTTTATACCAGGGGAGATGGTTGTTTGGGACAAGAGTCCACCATCTCCTCAGTTTGTTGGCTTTCCAAATAAAGTTACTTTCCTTACCCCAACATCTTGCCTCTCAACTTATTGGCCTACTGTGCGGTGAACAGGAGCTTGGTCTCCATTACAGAATTACCAGAAATATGCAGATTAATTCCTTTTATCTTTGCTCAAGTACTTATAAACAGCACCATATCTTTATATTTATGCTTTTATTAATAAAAATACTCATCCACTTTTAGTACTCATTATTTATTAGTGAGAATCTCATTTTAATTTTTTAAAAATTGAGCATTTCACGTTGTAGTACGAAAAACTGTCATGACTACAGTTATTTTGAAATAGAGCCAGAGGGGCCACTGCAGAGAAAGCGCTTTACCTGTCTTTCTTTGAACTGGGCCATAAACTTTGGATTAGGCAAAATGGCAACTGTTCTTAACAATTGCAAAATGGCAACTATTCTTAACAATTGTTCTTAACAATTGCAACTGTTCTTAACAATCCCAATGGTCTGAAATTTCTGAAGATAGAATTAGTAGTCAATCAATGTATAACCTAAAATAACTTAACTCGTTAACACCCACAGGAAACTTTTTTCCCCCTCTTCAACTCATGTAATTGGCTCCCTTTCTTTTCCTCATAAAAATCCTTGCTTTTACCCTACAAGCTGGACACTATTTGAGTTTCTATGATTCTGTGCTCCCTGAATTGAAATTCTTTAATCCCAAATGAAATACCTACTTGCCTCTCATTGTGGTTCTTATTTTCAAGTTAACGGTAGTTTTTTATCAAAAATTTCTTCATTGCACTTCAAAAATTGTACTTGTAATAGATAATACATTAATTGTTAGTCTTGGATTTTTTTTTTTTTTAGTCTTGGAATTTTTTTATGCTGCTTCAATAGACGTAGAAAAACAGTAATGGATTGTTTTAACATATGTCTTCACAGCCTTATCTAGTCGATCCATTCTTTTTTCTCTCATTGTACTTCACTTGTACTGGATATTCATATTCAATTTTCTTCGTTTATAGAATGAATTTACACAAACTAATTGCTAATGTGAGGGAAAGCAGTATAGGCTCTGGAGTCATATGTATCCCCAGCTCTGCCACTAATTGGGAGATAGTGAACAAGAAACAAGATTGGAAGTTACTTGCATGTACATGAAGTATTTAGGTCCCAGAGAAACTGAGAACAATCACAACCAAAAAAGCAGTTATAGATATCTTCATCAGAATAGAATATGGACATTCATAGGCTAACTAGAGAAAGAGAAAAACTTTAAAAAATTCAGTTGCGGGGCGCCTGGCTGGCTCAGTCGTTAAGCGTCTGCCTTCGGTCGTAATCCCAGGGTCCTGGGATCGAGCCCCGCATCGGGCTCCCTGCTCCGCTGGAAGCCTGCTTCCCCCTCTGCCACTCCCCCTTGCTTGTGTTCCCTCTCTCGCTGTGTCTCTCTCTTCAAATACATAAATAAAATCTTTAAAAAAAAAAAATTCAGTTGCTATAGAAAAAGAGCTAAACTAAACATGTGGTAACAAAATGAAAATGCTCTTTAGAAAGATGAGTAGGAAAGACTAAAGAGTATAAAGAGTGCTCTTTTGCTTAGCAACAAAGTAGTCTTCAGTGATGTTGGCAAAGGCAATTTCAGTGTAATGAGGGTGGGGGTGGAGCCAAGATGGAGTGGTGGAAGCCAGAGGTGAGGAAAGAGAAACATTTTTTCTTGAGCATTTGTTCACTCAACAAATATTTAGCCCCTACAATGTGCCAGATACTGTGCAGGCTCTAAGCATATAATAGTAAACAGTTCTCCCTGCCCTTAATAAGCTTAGGCTGTGGAAGAGTATGTTTAAATGCCAATGGGGAAGAATAAGGAGAAGTTGAAAATATGTTGAGAGAAGATATAACTAATGATAGGAGGTGAAATGAAAGTGGCCAGAATCCGGAGCCAAGGTGGAGGACTTCACTTAGGGACAAAGTACAGTATTTCTGAGTTGGGTGAGGCTAGGGTAAGAACAAGAAGGGGATCTAAGCCTTACTAAGCATTGTTTCTTTAAATGGACAGTTCAGCTCCTGAGCTCAGCCTCTTGTCACCGCTGGTTTACGCATGGTATGTGAATACAGCGGTGTGAGGGAAAAGAGAAGGTGGGCTAACAGAATGCTTCCTGCTAAAAAAAAAAAAAAGTTATTTTAAACATAGTTATTTCCACCTGCAAATATGTATCTACAGCGGATATTTTAGTCCAAATTAGCCTTGGAAATATTTAGGTAATTATTTATTACACCCTGTCTTTGCATTGAGGTGGGTTTCACTTTCATCAAATGATCGGAAATATAAATCAGAAATTAGCAAAAGATTCACATTTAATAATACGTCTTAATTATATCCCCAAGCTATAGCCCTACAGACCAATGAAGAAGTTAATCCAACCTATCTAAAAACAGCATTACTCATTGATGAAATTATTTCTTTGTAAAATATGCATTTGGGTGATTGCTTCTGAGGTAGAAAACTGGGGGTTATAAGAAGTGCCCTGCCCACAGGAGCTTCTAATCTCAAATCCCGCCCGGGGTTTGGAAAAGACTTTTTATTGGTTACAGGATTTATGAATCGCCCAGCGAACCGCCCCTGCATCCGCCTCCCGCGCCTTCAGGCTGGACCGCGGGAGACTGAGCGGAGGCAGGGCTGAGGGGAGCAGCGAAAATTCCTGGTGGATACTGTACCACGGCCTCATCCTCCCCCTGGCCCGCACCATCTACCTATAATGCGAAACTTCCAGGATACCTTAGGCCTACGAACCATCATGCATGCAGTTCGTCCTCCGCGGGCCTGGGAGCAGTAAGTTTAGCCTTAGAGACCGTGTACGCATGCGTGAGAACTGGGCCGCCGCGTGCGTGTGACGTCACGTGCGCGCCCTTCTAAACTTCCTTGTTTTTCTCTAGAGTGTGGGTGAGTGAATTTATAAGTCGGTGTGGGAGTTCGTTGCGTGGGTGTGAAGTGGTTTGGCTTGTGAACGGGTATGATAAAAAGACTGATTTAGTTTAGATCAAAATTCGGTGTAGTTATTGCAGAAAGACTCTTCATATTTGTCTTTAGCGTGAGCCTGCTGTGTTCAGTATCTTGCTTGGCGTTTTGTGAGCCTCTGCCTGGAGTTAGTTCAAGTCCCCGTCCTCACGGAGCTCAACTGGCTTGGGGAAGGTTGATGCTCACACATTAAAATTTAAGTTTTGACACTAGTGCATGTCCCACTCAAGACGTTTGAGAAATGAGATTGAGACTACAAAGCACAAGTTAGTATCAGTTCAGTAGTCCTCGAGATTGTATAGGGGCTGGAGGAAGGAGACAGCAGATATATTTTGGAGTAATAACCTTTTGGTGCCCAATTTGAGTACACACTGTTAACAACTGCTAAGGGATTAAAAAAGAAAACCAAATTTTTCAATCACCCTCCCCTTCCCCAGTAGCTTGTACATTTTAAAGCACAGTTTTGATAAAGGACATTGTCAGTGTAGTTTTCACAGATCCTAAAACTGGCTTTTAGAGGTACTCCTTTAAGTAGAAAACTAAATAGAAAAGGCTTGAGTTTCAATGTCTTAGGGGAATGCATGTATTGATCCTTGTTATAAAATTACAGAATAATCCACTCTACCCCCAAGAGTGATTACTAACCAACTTAAAGGAAAGAAAAAGCAAAAGTCAGTCAAAGAAGCTTAAAATTACGGACTACACTTTGGGTAAAACACTGGTCTTTGTGTTTTCAGCAGCAAGCTGTCAACTGCTCTAGTTGAATTTGCTTTGGACAACATTTTGAAGCAGATCTGATATGCCACTTGAATTAGTAAAAGAAGTCAATGGAGTGCCTGAAGTTGAGCTGCTAAGTGAATTAAACAAAGTAGATTTCAGTTCTCTACAGCCAGGTTGTGATTATAGCAAGAAGTACATCCAGGTAAGAATTTTCATAACTCAGAATGCTTTTTTCTTCTAAAAGGAATGCTCATTTTTATGTTGAGCTTATTTGTAAGGGTTGTTTTAGGAATAGTTTTACGTGTGTCATAATGTTTTTGACTATTTGAGGCTATTATTCTTAATTATTTAGCGTTCATTTAGCAAACATTTATTGAATTCTTTTGTGATACACTGGAGTAAGTTTTGAGGGTACAAAGATGAGTGAATATGATCCTTGAACTAAAGGGGACTGAATTCTTTTGGGTTTGGACAGTTTACCTAATCTCTAATTATTATTAATAAGTTGGTATTAGAATTGTGGTATGTGAACATTTAGGAGAGAACCTTTGGTTCTGACAAGTTAGGTCAGGAAAATGGAGCTGGAACTTAAAGGATGACTGAGATTATACCTTTCATTTTGGGTATAAGCAGTCCTCATGTGCATGTTGAAGAATTTACCCTAAGAACTGTGGGAGACCCATAATAGATTTTAAGCAGGACAAAGACATTATTCACTTTGAGTTCAAATTACTCTGCCTCTTGGGTGAAGAATATATCAGAAAGGGCAAGATTAGAGGAAGGATAATTAATTAGTTAAGACATAGTTACAGTAATCTAGTTTAGAGTTGATGTTGGTCTGAACCAGGGGCAGAGGAGATGATGGGAAGGAGACAGACAAAATAGTAATAAAATAATAACAAAAGTTAACATTGAGCTCTTTCTAGGAACTAGGTAGTATTTTAAGTGCTTTACATATATCAACTCATTTAATCATCACAAAACTCTATGGATTGGGTCCTATTATTCTTTGGCTGTAAATGAGGAGACTGCATTTCCAAAAGGTTAAGTGATTGGCGTGAGATGCAGTTGATAAGTGTAGAGCTGGTGTTAGAATCTAGACATTCTGCTTTGGAACTGACAAGATAAAGAAGCAGAATCAACAGGTCTTGGAGAACGGTTAGATGAAAGAGGTAAAGAGGAGTTCAGGAAATTTCCCTGGTTTTAAGTCCTGTCAACCCTGGGAAGATAATAGGCATGCATTTAAGAAGAAAGATAATGAGTTCAGTTTTGGATATCTTTCAGAGGTTATTAGAGGTATCCAGGTAGTAATGCCCTATAGGCAGGTAGATTTGGGGTTCTGGAGCTCAAAGGATTCCTACTCAGGGAGATTTGGGCCAAAGAATAGAATGAGATGTGTTGAAGGATGTCAGTGTTAGGAAGATAGCATGAATAAGAGATAATCCACAGGCATGGGAGAAAAACCAGGAGAGAGTGATGTCTTGTATATTTAGTAAGGTAAGTTTCAAGGAGTAGTATCAGTAACTCTTAACATAAATTGCTCTCTGGTACGCACTCTCCTAAGTGGTTTACGTATGTTCTCTATTTTAATTCTTGAAAGAACCCTGTGAATAGATGTTATTATTCCCATTTTATAGTTGGGAAAACAGATACAGGTTAAGTAATTCATCCAAGGTTAGATCCAAGATTAGCTAATAAGTGGCTGAACAGTGATTTGAATTTTCATTGTCTTTGCTGTGTTGCTGCTAAATGCTCAGGCTAAGGTCTGAAAAGATTCTGTTTGATTTAATGATCAAGAAAATATTGGTCACTTGGGAAGACTAATGTTGCTGGGTCGGCTTTTTAGTGGTTTGAGGATTGAATGTTGGGTGAGAAAGTGAAAGCAGGAAACGTCTTTCAAGGAGTATGTTGTGTGGGGCGCCTGGGTGGCTCAGTCAACCGGTTAAGCGGCTGCCTTTGGCTCAGATCATGATCCCAGAGTCCTGGGATCCAGCCCAACATCGGGCTTCCCCTCCCACTGCTCGGCAGGGAGTCTGCTTCTCCCTCTCCCTCTGCCTGCTGCCCTGCCTACTTGTGCTCTTTCTCTGTCAAATAAGTACATAAAATCTTTTTAAAAAAAGAAAAGGAGTATGTTGTGGTATTTTGATATTTTGATTATGGAAGTCATAGTCCTGAAATAGGAGTGGAAAGTTTTTTAATTTTAGCTGAGTCAGTTTTGCATTTGGTTAACAGTGATTGGCTTTTATACTACCTACAATCAACTTCACAACTGCTGCACTAAAGTGAAATAAAACAAATTCAATTTTTAAAAATTTATCTGCATTTCCTTTCCTCTTCTATTCTGCCCTCACCCTGTCCCCTTTCCTCCGAAGTACACTCATACTCAAACTCATAGGCCATATTCACAAACTTATTCCTAGAGCAGTTTAACATCCTGAAAAGGAGTGGAAGCCCTGGAGACAGGCTGGCTGGATTCAAGCACAGATCCACCATTTACTAGCTATGTAATTGGGAAAGTAATTTTATCTGCCTGTGCCTTATCTTTTCCATTTGTAAGCTAGGAATTATAATAGAACCTACTTCATAGAAATGCAATGAGGATTAAATGTAAAGTGCTTACTTAATGAATTCTAAGCATTCGGTAAGTGCTGGTTACTGTGGTCAAGATAATGATATCATTAACATGCCTTTGGACAAGGAATTTACCTAGTCTCATAGTTCTCAGTGAACATAATGTACCATAATCTCATTGAGCAGAGACAGAATTATTTTGCAATTAGTGAAGCTCAGGCTTCAAAGACTTTACTTGAACAAGCCCAAGACCATGTTAGAGGTCTTAGAAATGAATTTACATTTTCATATTTGTAAAATTTACACAAGGGGGATGTTCTAACCTAAAATGGTTAAGATTGCTGTCTCTTTCCATTTTGACTTATCCTTCCATCACATTTCCTGTCTTATCCAGTGGCATTAGAATGGCTGAGAACATTTTTGGAATATGTAGCTAAGGGGAAGTTGACTTGTGGAATAGGTTTAATGAGATGTATTTGTGTGCTTTGCAGTTACTTGCATTTATAGCCAGGATATGCCAGCTCTCCTGGTGTAGAAATGTTTTCCAGGAACATTCCCACACACTGGTTAGTATAGAAGAAAAGTATGGAGTCAGAAGTTGTACCAGGACAATGGAATATTATGCAGCCATCAAAAGGAATGAAATCTTGCCATTTGCAATGACGTGGATGGAACTGGAGGGTGTTAGGCTGAGCAATAAGTCAACCAGAGAAAGACATGTATCATATGACCTCACTGATAAGAGGAATTCTTAATCTCAGGAAACAAACTGAGGGTTGCTGGAGTGATGGGGGGTGGGAGGGCTGGGGTGGCTGGGTGATAGACATCGGGGAGGGTATGTGCTATGGTGAGCGCTATGAATTGTGCAAGACTGTTGAATCACAGACCTGTACCTCTGAAACAAATAATACATTATATGTTAAAAAAAAAAAAAGAAGATAGCAGAAGGGAAAAATAATGAAGGGGGGGAAATTGGAGGGGGAGATGAATCATGAGAGACTGTGGACTCTGAGAAACAAACAGGGTTCTAGAGGGGAGGGGGGTGGGAAGATGGGTTAGCCTGATGTTGGGTATTAAAGAGGGCACGTACTGAATGGAGCACTGGGTGTCATATGCAAACAATGAATCATGGAACACTTCATCAAAAACTAATGATGTAATGTATGGTGATTAACATAACATAAAAAAAAAAAAGTCGTACCAGGGTATGAATATGTACTGTCACACCTAGCATGTGGTGTATATAGTTAGTGAATGAAAATAGGTACTGAAACTATGGAATCTGAAGCTACTTCAAGGACAATTGTTAGAAATCTCACAACTTATATAGGAGAGAAACTTAATAGAGATTTTTTCAAGCTTGTCAACAGTCCTAAAAATTTACACAACATTACTAATAACGAGTGATGAAGTAAATACAATTGTTGTAAACTATCAATAACAAAAATAATTGTGATTTCTAATTTCAAATATTCCATTTCATATTAAAGAATACGTTTTGTTGTGAAGGAATGAAGAGGAAGGGATGCATTTAAAAAGGATGTTTAAGATTAAAGAGTTAATAACATGGGGGACATTTAATAACACAGATCCACCATTTACTAGCTATGTAATTGGGAAAGTAATTTTATCTACCTATGCCTTATCTTTTCCATTTGTAAGCTAGGAATTGTAATAGCTAAATATGTTATTGTTACTGATCTGTAATTTCTGCAGGATTTCAGTTTTTTTGAAGTTTATTAAGACTTAATTAGGTCACCATGTGGTTTGCCTTCCTGAACATTCCATGCGTAGTTGACAAGAATGTGTTTTCAGCACATTCTGGCCTGGTGGTCTATGAATATTAATGGTATAAACTTGTGTGAGTGTGTTTTCAGGTCTGTATTTGTACTGATTTATTTCTCCTTGTTCTATCAGTTACTAAGAGAGAGGTGTTAATACCAGGTATGATTGTAGATTTGTCTATTTCTTCCTTTAGTTATGTCAGTATTCATCTATTTTGAAGCTTTTTTATTAAGTGCATATATATTTAGGATTGTTATTTCTTTTTGATGAATGGATCTTTTTGTCATTATCAGATGTCTCTCTATCTCTGGTAACTCTTTGAGCATCTGTTTTATGTGGTAATATAGTTCTGCCAACATTCTTAGATTAACTGTTTGGATGGTGTATCTTTTATTTTTAATTTATTTATGTTTTTATATTTTAAGTATCCCTTAGATGGCATGTCATTGGGTCATGCTTTTTAATCCAGTCTGTCAATCTCACCATTTAATTGGAGTGCTTAATTTATATGTAATTTTATAATGGTGTTTAAGTAATACCATCTTGCTCTTTCATTTCCATTTGTCCTTTCTCTGATCCTCTTTCCTTCTTTCCTGAGTTCTGTGGGTTCATTAAATATTTTTTCCCCATTCTGTTCTATTTTCTCTGTTGGTTTGAACAACACCTGCCTTATTATTGTCTTTAATGGTTACTTTAGTACTAACAATATACGTTCTTATTAAAATCTGCTTAGAGTTAATATTGTACCACTTTTCATGTGACACTTCTTATTTCTCATGTCCTGCTTCATTCTTCTCACTTGACAAATAGAAGAATTTTACAGCAGTAAAATTCCATTTCCTACTC